CCCGCCGGCCAGGGAGACCCGTAGAAACGGCTGTCCCGCTGGCCGCCCGTGGCACAGTACAGGGGCCCGAGCGTTCCTAACCAGTTCGCGAGGCTGCCCCATCATGTCACGCATAATCTCGGGGTGGACCGTCGTGCCGGTTGGTGACCGGGGCGTGGGGTCCCGGCGGCCACTTCCGGGGGGGTGCGGGGGCCCTTCCGTCCGGCGGGTCGGCGTATATCCTCTGCAGGCAATCATTCGGGGAAACATGCCTCCCTAATTTGCCCGGTCTTGTCGCGACAACGTCCACTCGTTTCACGTCTCTTTTTCACTTCCATAATGGCAGCTCCTAAAACAAAGTTTGGACGTTCAGCGGTGCACACCCCCACGCCTTCAACGCTGTTTGAGGTCGAGTTCTGCAACATACGCGGACTCCACTCTAACCTCAACGCTGTCCACCACCATCTTGAGACAGCACGGCCAGCATTGTTGTTCCTGACGGAGACACAAATACTTCCGCCTGCTGACACAGGCTACCTTAATTATCCCGGCTACGTGCTTGAAGAGTCCTTCAAAGCGAAAGCCGGTGTATGCCTGTATGTTCGGGCGGATGTTTGTTGTCGCCGTCTCCGCTGCTTGGAAGATCCCTCCTTCTCCATGCTGGGGGTACACGTCGACTCTGGCCCCCTGGCCAGAGTTTACGTGTGTCTCTACAGATCCCACACCGGCGATGTTGAGACAACTCGACTTTTTGAACACCTTAGTCGGGCAGCAGATGACGCGCAGGAACAATTTCCCAATGCAGAATTGGTGTTTTTGGGGGACTTTAATGCTCACCACAATTTGTGGTTAAGTTCCTCCAAAACTGACCATGCAGGGATCTCTGCTCACGCATTCGCTCTCACGCATGACTTGAAGCAACTGGTTGATCAGCCCACCAGGATCCCAGATATTCCAAGTCAAGCGCCTTCTTTACTGGACCTTCTGCTCACGACCCATCCACAGGGCTATCAGGTTGTGGTAAGAGCCCCCCTGGGCTCGTCAGACCACTGCCTGATATCTGCCAAAGCACCACAGGCCAAGCCTCCGCGTCCAGCAGTGGTCAAGCGCCGTATCTGGCATTATGGGTCGGCAGATTGGGACGGTATGCGTGACTACTTTGCGTCCGTCCCTTGGAAGCAGCGCTGCTTCAGTGACAGGGACCTATCGGCCAGTGCCGTTGCCATTACTGAGGAGGTTATAATGGGTATGGAATACTATATTCCTCATTCTGATCTCATCAGTAAGGGCACGCGTAACCTCTGGTTCAATCACGACTGTGCTGAAGCTGCTTCGCGTAAGCAAGCGGCATATCGTGCTTGGATCAGAGGTCGCGCTCTCAAGGATCCCGAGGTCGATTCACTCAAAGCAGCCTACAATTTTGCTTCCAAGGCCTGTAAGAAGGCTTACATTAGAGCGGATGCCCAGCGCGTTGCACGTGTTGGCCAGGAACTTATGACGCATCCTACGGGTTCCCGTAGCTACTGGCGTCTGGCCAAGGCCGTGCAAAAAAACTTCTGCGAGCCCTCGCTGCCACCTCTGAGATGCCCAGACGGAACACTAGCCCATAAGCCGCAGGAGAAAGCCGATTTACTGGCAAAACTCTTTGCGGCTAACTCCCGAATCGATGATTGCAATGCACTGCCACCATCATTACCTCACTGTGGCACAACGATGCCTGATATTAAAATCAGGCAGCGCGAGGTTCGTGCCGAATTGCAATCACTCGACGTCCGGAAAGCTAGTGGACCTGATGGCATCCCAGCAGTAGTACTCAAAAAATGTGCAGCGGAGTTGTCTCCCGTGCTCACGCGCTTGTACCAATGCTCGTATTCTTTGGGGCGTGTGCCGGAGACTTGGAGAGATGCCAATGTGCAACCGGTGCCCAAAAAAGGGGATCGCTCAGACCCGGCAAACTACCGGCCAATAGCAGTCACCTCAGTTTTATGTAAAGTTTTAGAAAAGGTCCTTAATAACCATCTGACCCGCTACCTAGAGGATCACTCCTTGATTAATGATCGTCAATATGGTTTTAGACCGAAACGATCGACGGGTGATCTTCTAGCGTACTTAACTCATATCTGGGGTGAGGCTATCGACAAACGTGGCGAGTCGTTGGCTATCAGCCTTGACATTGCCAAGGCGTTTGACAGGGTCTGGCACAAAAGCCTTCTCTCCAAGCTTCCGGCATACGGTCTGCCAGCCCAGTTCTGTTCTTGGGTAGCTGACTTCCTGCATGAGCGTAGAATTCGTGTCCTTACGGATGGTAGCAGTTCGCGGTTCATGTCAGTGAATGCCGGCGTTCCCCAGGGCTCCGTCCTATCCCCCACTCTCTTTCTGCTGCATATCAATGACTTAATTCCTCTTGGGAATATTCATTGCTATGCAGACGATAGTACAGTGCATGCGGGGTATCTCGGACAAGCAGCGGCTGGGCTGGCGGTAACCAAGGAGAAACGCGAGAATCTTGTCATTGAACTCAATCAGGCTTTGGACCACATTTCCGAATGGGGTACCAGGAACTTGGTTGAGTTCAATGCCAAAAAAACTCAGGCTTGCGCCTTCACGGCAAAAACATCGTCATTCCTTCCCCTTCCATCTCTTCAGGGCACAACACTACCGCTGCAGAGCAACATTTCTATGCTCGGTATGGAAGTTCGCTCAGACCTGAATCCAAAGAACTACATCGAAACCGTGATCAAAACAGCTTCACGTAAACTCGGAGTCCTGAACAAGGTGCGGCGTTTTTTCACGCCCGATCAACTGTGCTTGTTGTACAAAACGCAAGTGCGGTCCTGCGTGGAATATTGCTCGCACCTCTGGGATGGCTCCGCCAAGTACTTGCTCGATGCTTTGGATAGGTTACAGCGACGCGCGATCCGCATCATAGGCGATGAGGAGGTGACTAAACACCTTGAGCCTCTTCAATTACGCCGTGACGTGGCGTCACTAAGCGCGTTCTATCGTCTGTACCACGGCGAGTGTTCTGAGGAGTTATTCTCTCTTATCCCACCTTCTCCTTTCCTTCAGAGGACCACGCGCGCTGGCCTACGTTGTCATCGTCTAACTGTGGCCACAATTCCAGCGTACAAAGAAATTTGGTGACTCATTTCTTTGTCGCACTATCCGTAAATGGAATGCTCTGCCCGCTCACGTGTTCCCTCCCTCTTACAACCTGGGATCCTTTAAAAGAGGCGTGAAGAAGCAACATGCAGGCCGGCAGGGTGAAGATGGCTGGTGTGGCAGGTAAAACTGCTGTATCAGCTATCGTCACGTCTGGACTTCACCTTCACTTAACATCAGGTGGGGTGGAGTCATATGTCGGACCTATCTATAAAAAAAAAAAAAAAAAAAAAAAAAAAAAAGTTACCAACAAAATTCCTAAAGAAGTTTTCTCTTAAAAAGTTTAGGTAGATGCGATCGAGCTTAAGGTATAGCTTGGCACGCTGCACTAAGAAATAGTTATTCTGGAGTCTTAGATCTTTATAATATATACGTATGCTCTCATAATGGTAGAGGAGTATGTTCTTTCAAGATTCCCAGGGGGCCCCCCTATCGATGGCGCATATTGCTCACTGCCGACGCTCAACTGCTTCGCAATCACCTGAGCTGCGTCAGGGATCTCACAGCCACGGCTGGAGACGATTACAGATTAGAATATCGGCGAACACTCTATTCCATTACAGTAGATGTCAGTTTTGCGCGGTATTTAATTTCAAAAAAATAAGTTTTTATTCTTCGTTCAGATACAAGAACTAATCGGATAAATAAGTAATATGATGCCAATTTACTTAAGTTTTAAGTTACTTAAAATGTCAAATGTTGGGTTATGAGTAAATGATTATTATTAATACACATTAAGAATTGCTTACTTAAGAAAGGATATTATACTGTCAATCAATATTTGAATGATAAAACGGCTTGGTTGTAATTTTATAAGGCTCCCAGCCTTAGAAAGAGTTTTGAAGAGAGAAGAGAGAGCACATACTCCCTTTCACATACTTGTTCATTTTGTTTTGAAAATTGTTTCTTGCTATTTTTAGACTTTTCTTTGCAGTTATTATTAGTAAATTCATTGATTGTCTATTGTTACATATTTGACATTATGTGATGGAAGTTGACCTCAACACATGTTTGCAAGTTTGATGTCAACTTTCAATTGAACGACACTGTATGAAATAAAACAGGGAGAAAAAATCAGCCCTTGCTGAGTTTCTTGCCGGTTCTTCTCAGTACAAGGTCTCCCGCCGTAGATTTGCGAACCGATGGCGTAGATTTTCGACATTCATAAGTGCTTGTAACAGCCTAGACTGAATAAATGATATTGAATTTTGAATTACATTAATTATAAATTAGTCATTTAGAGCCTCCGCTGTCTTAAGCGACGCGACGCCTCTGACTAAGAAGTTTAAGACACGCGCTCACAGAATTGTTAAAATGGGCTCTAACTTTTTCAATTTATCCCAATTTTTTTATATTTTTACCATTATTAAAATGTTGGTTAAATACTATTATTTTGACATGCAAAACACATGTTTACAAATCAAGAAGTTACTAAAGGTTTCCCAAGCGCATATGGAGTGTGACACCCGAAAAACAGCGGCTTTATTCCCAATTACGACCTTTAAAAATTATCTTAAAATCTAAAACAATAAGTATCACTAATTTTTTATCATAATTGTATACAATTATAAATAAAGAAGAATTTTATATTGATTCTAAGGCTATAACAATAGTTTAAGAATAACAAGCGTGTGATCCCCAAAAAAGGGTCCATGAAGAACTACTCTGTTGTATGTTAACAGCTAATCATTAACCAAACCGACGTACAATAAAAATGCTAGAACACTTTAAGCCATGTTTAGGTGACTTTTTTTTAATTCATATTAATCCGACTTACTTTTTTGAGGCAATATTGTTAGTATATTCAAAATAATGTAAATTATTTCATATTTTACAATAACTTCCTATTTTCTTTTCAGATACTGAATGCCAACGAACATGGTGGCGTTGACTTTCCTAATAGTTTTGGGTGAGTAAAAAGGTTTAATATCTGCTTCTCTACTATCGCTTGTTGATGTACTTACTTAAATTTGAATTACATAAAATAAATGAGGGTGTTTATGAAAATCTTTCACCATTTGGCGCCACTGTGACATTGTGTGAGCATTTAAATTGATCTACTGTGAAGACACGTGCGATTCGACGCATGAGTAGACCTTTCGTCTAGGTACTGCCACCTGGTGCTTATCATTCCAGAAACCCCTCACACCGCAAGTGACGACCCGTGAAGCTACATTTTGTATCATATATTTGTTGCTTAGGTTTTCACGCACATCACTCATTAAATAAAACAAATTTCAACGGGTTAGATGCACTGAATTTATTTATTTATTTGATGTTTCACACTCTTTGCCGGAATGCGTCGTCAGAATAAGGTTTTTATTTACTTTGTCGAGCTACCTTCAAAAGACTTTTATTGAGCGTTCGGATATTTCATTGGAAGATTTTTAAAACTTTATTGTCTATGTTTGAATTTATTAGCCAATTTAATTAATAAAGTACTTTCTTTAATTCTTTCTTATAATTTGGAGTTTATTTATTTGACGCTAACTACCGTAAACTACCACCGGTTCCAAAATTGGGAGACCTTTCTGAGAAGAACCTGCGAAACAAACTCAGAGAGGCTTTCTATCTCCTTCTTATGGTAAATTATGCAAACAACTATACTAACTATATTATCTGTTGGTCTTGCTATATATTACTTATCCAAAACTCAAAAGAATTAAAGAATAGATGTGACGTTGGAAATTAGCGTCGCGGCTGATGCCCTTGGGCACCTAAAATTCTTTTTTTCCTCCACCACTTTGCGAATCACTAATCCGTATCTCTGAGTTTGGTGCCTGGAATGGGGCATTAGCCAAATTAAATAAATATTTCTAATACACACCAATTAGCCTACCCCCAAAGTAAGAACTGTAAGGCTTGTGTTATGGGATACCAGGGTAATGGATAGAATACATATACAGTACATATATAAGTATATTGATATAGTAATACATCATATTAAACATCCATGACTTGAGTACAAATGCTCGTATTCATCACACAAACATCTGCCCCCACCGGGATTCGAACCTGGGACCTCTCGAGTCGGCGACACCATAAAACCCGGCGTACAAACCACTCGGCCACGGAGGTCGTCAATAAACTAAAATGTAAAATTGTTGTAGGCGTTCGAAGTCCGTAAAGTGAAATATACTTATTTTCATTGTAGAGCCACTGCTAGTGTAAATCTCGTGGAATAAACTGGTGATTTCCACTCCAAAAACTTTTTAAACGCTCTTTATTTGTTCGTATTTTAAAACGACTACCTACATTAAGATTATTCCCTTAGAGTCCTTTGCCTTTTATTTTTAATAAAGGCAAACGAGTGTGATGTTTATTCATGCGTTTGGGGTTCTGCAAATCACATAAGCCTTTGATCGACGTAAAAGGTTGAAGAATCAATGAAAGCGGTGGAGGGTGGTGAAATGCCAAATGACCCAACACTGTATATATTAACAATATAACACGACGTCTATTTGGGAGTACCATTGATTTTTACTCGTATTTATATAAAATACTAGCGGCTGACCGAGACATCGTCCACGTTAACTTGCACCTGATATAAATTGGTGTGGATTTATGAAACCAAGACCCTCAAGTATGTTGTTCCATATGCCTCCTAAAAGTGTTTATCTACTTGTTGTTTCTTTGGCTTATAAAAAGTGGAAAATAAAAAAGCCCTATCGCTGTTGGGAATCGAACCCAGGCCGACCGCGTGGCAGGTAAGCTTTCTACCAATGAACAACCGATGCTTATTGATAAGGTCTGTTTTTTTATATCAATAAAAAATGTAAAGCGACACACTAAAGATGAACGAAAATCATTTGTGCGTTTAAAAAAATGTTTCACTTTAAAAAACAACTTGTATTGTATTCTAATACATTTATTTATTTTGAGAGAAAACTATATTGTACCCTACATTTCTACTTTTTTTAAAATTTATTCATGACCATGGATACAGGTCGAAGGACCTGACTGAAGAGTCAATACATAAATACCAATCTTATTCTACTTTTTTTTACATTAGAATGTCGATGTAACGCATTCTAATGTTTCTTGGAGTGTTTGGCACGAAATGTATCGAGTTGGCTTTTTCGATAAGCTTCTGTGAGGTAGTCAACACTACAATAAAGTTCTCACGTCCACTTGACCGGAATAGCGTATATTTTAAAGATTCCACTGATTCTTCAGTTGCGCAGACTGTTGTAACACAAAATCACACCAATTTTATTTCACAATAGGCACTATGAACGAATTTAAGAATACTTATAAGAAAACGCCAACTGCACACGATGAAATCCCGCCAAAAACTCCTACTCTTCTATTATTACTGTAGTTTACCACGGTGTGTGAAAGAGCTACTGAAAGTGTGGACATCATTTCTGTTAAGTGACGTTACGGGGCGACAAAAAGAGGACGGGGATGACAGTGACTTGACTCTCGACCTGAAAAAATAATGTTTTGTTAGCCATATACATGGCCAAGTTAACATTCGTTAACATTTAAACAAATATAAACAATCAATCAATTTAAAAATGAAAGAATAAAATTAATGAGAAAATGAAAAATGTAGGTTTATAGGCAAAAATAAAATTCGCCCGAGTAGGGTTTTTTGTTCAATATTTTTTTCCCGGACACTAAAACGTTTACCAATCCACTGTTGATGTTTAAAAGTCTTCAAATATCGATACAAATCATGTTGATATATTTTAAAGCTTCAGATAATCATCTGAACAGACTTGTGTAGGCTAAATGAGAAAAAAATGAGCAAATTATCCTGTAGCTTTATTAACATCGATATAAATAAGAAGAGAATACGGTTCATGATATATTATGTGTACATAAAGCAAGGCAATTTGCGAGGGACTATCGCGGACACGTGAGGCTGTCGATGACAGAGGTCGCTTAACGAGTGGCCCAATTATTTTTCCAGCGGCCGTGAGCTTGATGGCCTCTCACTACCTAATTTACCGAAACGTTAATGGTGGAGATCGTATCATAGAAAAAATGCTTACTTTATTTTATAAAAAATTCCTATTGGCTTAAGCATTATATTCTAAACTTAAAATAAATTTTAACAACATATCATAGTTACTTTTCATTGTGTGAAAGCATGGTTAAGCTTTTTTAATACTGCTTCCTAGGGTCTTCACCAAGGAGATACTAAATAAGTTGAACATGACCCAGCGGGATAGGAAGCTGGTCGGAGTCACATTGAGGGACTGTAAAAGTAATGAGTGGCTGAGACAACAGAGCACGGTCACTTATGTTATCGACTGGGTAATTAGACTGAAATGGGAATATGCGGCACATAACCCGCATGTGGCACGCAAGATTGATGCGTGGAGCAAGCGGCTTCTTGTCTGACGACCATGAGGTCAAAAACGTCCTCGAAGAAGAACTAAGTTGCGTGGTACAATTATCTTAAAAGAAAAGCAGGAAACAATTGGCTCCAGATCGCACAAAATCGAGGTCTTCACTAAAACCCCCTTTTTAATAAACGAGGAAAAAGCTTAGTCTAGTTACGCCGTGTTTTGTTCATATCACTGAAATGCCATTTATCATTCGATGAACAGAGACAAAACATAGAGTAAATAATCCAAAGTTATTATTAGTTTATTAATAAGGGGGACATTTAAAGTTTTCAGGAATTATGACTGAATAAAAATTACAAGTCTTAAAATAAAATTCATGAACACCATGTCACGAAAGATCATTATCAGTAATTAACAACGGCTCGACCAATGTGATGTGAGTTTTTTTTTATTATGATAACACTCGTGACTCGGAAACGGTTTCTCGGGTACCACTCCCCTTTTTAGTGGGTAGGCCTCCGAGGACTTATCGAATGGACTTCCGTTGGATGAGTCCACGGAGGAGAGTCACACATAACGTCGCCGCTTGTCAAGTGGCGGGCTATGCATCACGCATTTTGCCCACGGCAAAAAAGGACGACATCGTTTGAATGCAAGTTTTAAAAAAATATTGGGAAACGAATGAGAGGCCACCGAAGTCAACTTATTTTTATAACAATTTTGTCCTGTACAATGTTTGGCTTTCCAATGACGTATAAACTTTTTGTTAATGTTAATATAAAATAAATAGGAAAGTTTTAAAGCCAAATACCAATTTAATGATGTAAGTCAGATAATTCTATGAAAGTTCTACATTTTGTAGTGAATGTGCAAAGTCCGACACGCACTTGGCAGGTTTTTTCTCGTACTAATATCGTACATCTGAGTTGACTAGCGCTTCCCCGGTTTTAATGTTATTTTTCACAAAAATAAGTTGGTTGTTTGTCAAAAATAAGTGTGGAGTCTCTTAGAATATACGGACCCGATATGAAGCCCGTATTACAATATTTACATTAATCGTATCGAAGGCATACAGAAAATTTGCACGCCATTTGAATTTTAGATTTCGAAAAATTTATGTCAAATCGACGTATGTGGAAAGGAGATTGCTCAGCTTCCATACATGTTTGGCCTAAAGGCCAATAATCATGAAAAATTGTTTCCTAGATTTGAAATTATATATAAATTACTGTAGAAACGAATATTATTGACGGACACCCCTGAGAACTTCTATAAACCATATACACTGATCATATTAAAATAATAAAAAACAAATAAGTTATATAGTATACTAGAGAAATCAAGTCAAGTACCGAAATTATGGATTAGATTCAGGTATATAGAGCATGTAGATTAACAGATAGTTGCCTGTTTTTAAAGTTAATGCATAAGAGTAACTTTTAGAATCAGGTGTCATTTCCGGTTATAATAAGATATTATGTCACAGAAACTGTGTGATGATTGTGAATGAGCCACAGATTAGAGAGAATTTTGAAACTCTAGTTAACCAAAGAAAGCTAAGAGATTTAGGTTCTATAGCCGAATATTCAGTAGATTTTTAGTGTATCAC